CCTGTTTCAACTTCCACACCCAACCTGATCACTCTGCACAGTCACCAGTTTTTATAAGAATCCCCTGCCCCATCCTCTGTGACAGCCTGGCAGTTCATTAATAAGGTTGCTATTCACTACATAAGGAAGTAAATACTCACCACACTCCAGAACTACCACCAGACACCTCCCACTGGCTACATTCAAAATAATTTGACTACCTTTCCAAAACTATAACACATTGAGAAAAGTCCATGTCTCTAATGTATATTGTAGTTTTGTAGAAAACTGTCTTTATTTGGAAAATATGTATATTAAAGCATTTTAAGTGAAGTATCATGATTTCTGCACAGTACTTTCAAATGATGTATGAAAAACATGTTTCTAAAAGAATGTAAAAAAGAGAGCTAATGCAAAGGAGGCCAAATAATAGCCATAAGTGAACCCGTGGGAAAGGACAGGCGTGCTCATTATACTATTCATTTAAGTTGTCCATAGATGAGAGAAAATCGAGCCAAAGCGATGGAAAGACAGGACGAGCAAATAAGTAGAACACCAGAAGTGAAGTCTGAGGACCATGGAGAGGACTTTGGCCCTTGCACGGTACAAACTCCTGGGCAGGGAAGCATAGGAGATCTAAATACACAACACGTAACCTCTGAGAAGAACGGCCACTACAAGGGAAAGGAAACATGCTGAATACAGGTAGCATTAAACAAAAATGCTGGGACAGACCAAATGCTTGTAGATCACACAATAAATATCCTCCCACATACAAAGGGAGAAATTAAGAACACTGGCTGAGGAGACACACTTTTTAAGAAACAATTAAAGCCAACTTTAGTCAACAGTTGGCCAGGGATGATGACACACACCTGTACTTGGGAGGCAGAGGCAAGAGGAAAGGCCAACCAAGGCAACACAGGGAAACCATCTTAGAAAGAACACAACAGAGGAAAACCACAAGGAGGAGCTGGAGAGATGGCTCACCAGTTAAGGGAATACTGCTCTTTCAGGGAACCCAAGTGTGATTCCCATCACCCACACTGGACAGATCATAACTACCTCTAACTCCAACGTCAAAGGATCACCAGTTGCCTCCATGAACACCTGCAAGCACACATGCCTACTCCCAGACACACAGGCCTGCATAATTAAAAATTGAAAACAATAAAACTCTTTTTAAAAATGATTGCAAAAACAGAATGCTCCATTGCAATGGAAGTTCAGCAAGAGGAAAGCTCTGCACAGAAGCAGAGAATTACAGGACAGCACAGAGACAAGGAAAATAAAAGCAGGGATCCAGGCAATGGGAAACAAGCAAGGAAGACTACTAAAGGAAATATTTTTAGAATATTGATCATTATTTTCCCCAGAATTTAAAAAAAGCACATCATCCATCTCTCCAAGAAAACAAATGGTAACAAATGCCGGTTTAAAAAAATGCAGAGAGGCCGGGCAGTGGTGGCGCATGCCTTTAATCCCAGCACTCAGGAGGCAGAGGTGGGCGGATCTCTGTGAGTTCGAGGCCAGGCTGGACCGACAGCCTCGAAAACAATACAGAGAAACCCTGTCTCGGAAAACAAAAAAAATAAAAATAAGTAAAAAATAAAAAATGCAGAGAAAGAACAACACGTAGGCACTGTTGGTGTGAATATAAATTGGTGCAGCCAATATTCAGAATAAAAGTTCCTCAAAAAAGCTACCAGATGAGCCAGCTATACCACTTCTGGAGATACAGCTGAGGGAATCCAAATCAACACTTGTATGTTTTGTTTAATGCAGCACTTTTTTCAACAGCCAAATAAGAAACCAGCCTAAGTGTCTGACAATATGAGAATGAATAAAGAAAGTGTGTCCTAAAAAAAAAATAAAAAATAAAAATAAAAAAAGAAAGTGTGTCCTGTGTACACAGTGGGGTTTTACTCAGCCATAAAGAAGAATAAAATTATGACAGTTACTGGAAAATGGGTTGAACTGGAGATCCCTGTGGTAAGTGAAACACACCAGACTCAAAAACACCAAGTTCACATTTTCTTTCATATGCAAAAACCTAGATTTAAGTTTATACATATACATGCACCTGCTGTGCCATGAAACTAGAAAGAGGACCTGATGGGGGATATCCTTCCATGTGCTGTGAATACACGTTTCTCTTATTGGCTGTTGAATAAAGCTGTTTCAGCCAATGGACAGACAGGATTTAGCCATGTGGGAAATCCAAAAAGGGATAGAGAAAGGTAGTAGAAAGAGTCAGGAGACTCCGTGTAGCTGCTGAGGAAGCAAGAGGCCCGGGCATCACTGGTAAGCCAAGACTATGTGGAGATAGAAATGGATTAATAATTAAGAAAGGGTTAGCCAATAAGAAGCCTAAGCCAATAGACCAAGCAGTTTAGAATTAATATAAGCCTCTGTGTGTTTATTTGGAACTAAACAGCTGTGGGACTGGGCAGGACAGAAACTTCCATCCACAAGGACCACAAGAGGAGCAGAGATCTGAAGCAAATCGCTGGAGAAAGAAAGGATAATGGAATTCACGTGACTTGAGGACAAGATTATTTGGGGTGAAGAATTGAACCATCAAGAGAATACAGGAACAGTGGAGGACAGGGTCAAATTAGACAAATTATAATGACACATGTGTAAGAAAATGTTATACTCACAGCCAAACAAACTACTAACTAAAATAACAGCAAAACCCAAACAAGCCTCTCTGTTTCTACACTATGCATCTTCGTGGTGTCTGATTTCTTCATCAATTTCCCACATCGACCAAAATAAAATATTGGTAAAATAAGGTATGAGAATATATCATTTACCTAATAAGCTAGAAATAAAATAGATTTATAAAAATGCAAAAAGTTACTTTCTTCAGTAAATATTTTATGTTCGAAAATTATTCTAAGAAATGTCATTTATGCTTATGTGTGTTGGTCTTGTTATCTCTCAAAACTTAAAAGGTACAATTATTTTAATGAAAAAATGCTATAATGAAACCACTGCTTTTTATGTTAGTTTTAAGAATTCTTAAAAAGACAAAAGACACATAAAAACTCATATTGAAAGAGACTAAAAAGAACCAGAGGGCACTGTACTTTGAAAACTAAAACATTTTTAAATGTGACTCTTTGTAGTATATGTACCTAATAGTATAACTTCAAACATATAAATAGTATTAAAGTGCTAATATAACACAAAAAGAGACCAATCAGCAAAGAAATGAACACTTTACCCCTTTCAGAAACTAACAGGCAAGCCATTTTAAAAAAGCAAAATTGCAGTACTAAATAACATTAAATATCTTCAAGCAAGTAAACACATAGACAGCTCCATACGGACAAGATTTAATTAATTATTTTCAACCATTTAAAAATAATAACCATACACTTGAATAAAATCTCAGTAAACTGAAGGACTTGGTGTCACAGAGACTATTTTCCATGGTCATAATATCAAAACCAATTATAGAAACAAATATTTGGTAAATTTCTATAAAGCTAGAACTTGTCAAAAAGGAAAACATAAGGGAAAAAATTAAAGCTACACAAAGAAATGAAAATGGATACTTTCAAGAACATACTTCTGATTATTCTTTTTATGGAATGTTTATTTTTTATATTGGGGAAAATTTTAAGTTCATATATATTCTAAATTTTAGTAATTAATTATAATTAAATATTTGCTTATTTGCCTTTTTCATGGGGTGAAAATACTTGCAAATCACTTTTTACATATGAGTGTCCATGTATGTGTATGCATGTATATATGGGTATGTGTGTTTCTTTTTTCTTCTTTTGTATTGAATTGTTTCTTACAGTTGTTTAGATTTATTTAGTTTGTCAGTCATTTGCCTTTATGTATATCTGTGTGCCACATGCTTCCCTTGATTCCTGAGGTCACAGAGGGCACGGGATCCCCTGCAACTGGAGTTACACATGATCATAAACCATCGTGTGGGTGTTGGGAACCCAACCAGGATCCTCTACAGGAGTCACAGGGATCTTAACCACTGAGCATTGCTCCAACATCCTTTGCTTTGTTAATGCTGAAATCAACAGCTACTTCCTTGAAAGCCACTTGAGCAAAACATGGAAAAATTCAAAAATATATTCAAAGGCCAGAGCTATAGTTAAGTGGTAGAACCCTTGTGTAGTACAGTGAGGTACTAACTTCAATCCTTAGTACTGTCAATCTATTTTTTTTCAAATATCCACCCAATTCCTATTGTGCCCCCTAACCCCACATTCATGGAGGACAAAATGAAAACCTAACAGAAAAGTCCCAGGCTGGCCTCAAACTCGTGATCCTCCTGCCTCTGCCTCCTTCAGCAAATCCTACCAGCATGCACTACCACAAGTGGCTCAAGGACCCCAGTCTGACAGCTGGAGAACCAGAATAGGATTGAACCAAGCCCCCTGAATGTGGGTGTCAGTTTGGAGGCCTGGGCAGTCTATGGGGCCTCAGGCAGTGGAATCAGTATTTATCCCTAGTGTACAAATGGATTTTGGGAGCCCATTCCCTATGGTGGGACACTCTCTCAGCCCAGATACATGGGGGAGGGCCTAGACCCTCCCCCAAATGATGTGACAGACTTTGATGATCCCCCATGGAAGGCCTCACCCTCCCTGGGAGTGGATGGGGGGTAGGACGGGAGATTGATGTGGGGCATGGGAGGACAGGAGGGAGAGGGAACTGAGATTGGTATGTAAAATAAGACTGATTTTAATTTAAATAAAAATTAATTAAAAAAAGAAACATCTCAGCAGGAAGTAGCATGCTCATATTTCTCACCAGCTGCCCAATAACCCTGCCCGAACCTCCAATCAGAGGACACATTAAAAGAAATACCTCATTAAAACTGGTGTAAAAAAGAAACTCTTAGACCCTGGAATCAAGTATCTCTCTCTTACTAAACACTAGGCACTGCCTTCTACTCTGACATCCATTTGTGTGACATTAACTACACCCACTTCTATGTGATATTGAGACCATAAGAATAAAATGTATTTGCAAACAAGTACCTGATAGGGTAGGTCAGCCATTCTTAAGTAGGTTTCCATTTTCAAACAGAAGGGAGATAAGCTGGGGACACCATTGTTAGGTCTTGCAAACTGATGTAAAATAATAGCATCCTTGGAGTCAAGCTCTTGCTGTTTCCTGTCAAAACCAAAACAGAAGTAAAGGACAGCTTGCATGTTAGCTTTCTGATGCCTTGGGGCCTCTAGAGGACCCTGTAGGGTTGTGGTCCTCTATGAACAATTAGAAGTGTGTGTGGCAGGTCTTACCTCATGCAGCATTTAGAGAACAGAAGCAGGAGGACATTACAAACTCTGGAATGACTATAATCCAGTGGCTCTAGGAAGTAACTACAAATCAACTTGCTTCCTGTGGGTAAGAGGGGTATTTTTGGAACTGGCATTTTGTGCTTACTGTGTGTTCCACCTGGTTCTGCACCATTCTGATTCCATGGGTATCTCATTTAATCTTCAAAACAACCTTATGCAATATATATATGATGCAAATACTAAAAGGTGAGCATGGTACTTCAGGCCTTGAATCCTAGCTCTCAGGAGGCTGAAACAGAAAGACCGCACTTTTATGACCTGCCTGAGCTACAGAGACTCCTGGGTGCATAGAAAGTCACATTTCTAGAACCCTGAAGAACCTGGGCAGTGCTTCTATGCCTGCCTTATACAACACTTTGAACAGACCCTTCTCAAATCAGTCTGCTGTGGCATGATGCCCACCTACAGGGAATCTGAAACTAAACATTCACAAGGATTAAATAAAACAATATCTGTCAACATTTAGCAAGTTACTTAGCATTGAATGTGTAGAGGAATTTATTCTTACACAACAAGATATGGTCTTGTTCACTTGCAAATTCTTCCCAATCTGGCTCATAAACTCCTCAGAGACCTACTACAATTTCCATCCTCTTGTCTGCCTAGCCTAGTCATATAAACTCCATTCTCAAGGCTTGGCCCTCCCTAAGTTTCTAATTCCCTCTCCAAATTTCAGCTTAATTCTACATCTCCTTCTGGCTAAGCAGGAATGGTCCATCACCTTCACCACACAATGTTCACCAGCTTCTACATCTCTGCTTCATAAAACAAGTTCTCTTGAGGTTTATCAACTAAGGGCCTAGTCACGTTAAAGAACTCAGAATGACTTGTTCTGAAATTACAAGCCCCCCCAAATTAAAATATTTACAATGTAACAAAGGTTTTCCTTGATAGAAAATGTATAGGAGGTCAGATATTAAAATCCAGGACTCATGTTGACTGTGAGTAGACAGCACAAACTCCACAACTCGCAACTGACTTTGCCCCGCAAAATAATTCACGTCACAAAGTGGTATTTTTGTGTAAATTGGCAAGGCAAAAGTTTAAGAACTGAAAGGAGATAAATATGAAGTCCGCTGCTCTACTGGCCAGAAGAATCGAATTCTAAAGGTTCACTTAGGTCCCTCATAGCCAACTGGATGCTGGTGAGGTGCCAACATGTGCCAATGACTATAGACACAGCTTATATCAACCCACTTAATTCTGACAATCCCACTCTAAAGTGGGCGTTGTTAAAGTTTAAATTTGGGACACCACACTAACATTTTATAGCAGACAGGAAACTTGAAGGTCAGAATGTAGCTGCCCAAGGAACACCAATTTCAAATTAAGTCTGTCAGGTAAAGCCTGGCCACAAATCCCAGCTATTCAGAAGGCATAGGCAAGAAAACTGCAAGTTCAAGGCCAGCATAGGCAACTCAGCTAGACCATGCCTCAAAAAAAGAATGCCCAAAGTGGAGTGAGGTGAGGATGGAGCTCTGTGATAGGCCACTTGGCTTCCTCGGGTGAAGCACTAGATCCAATCCCTAGTACACATTTTCAAAAAGTGTTATATACCAAGTTTGAAATAACTCCAGATCCCAGGAGTCCAAAGAAAAGAAATTTGGCAATTCCTTGGTTAATTTTGTTAATACAACCAGTTTGACTCAGCTAGCTGGTGTACTGAATGCCCATATGACAAACTGTCCTAAGTAGTTCACATGCGTTACCCTCAAGTCTACTGGATAAGGAAGGCTACTATTATTATTTCCACTCCATAGATGATACTAATTAAGAACTTGCTGGCATCAAAGGTACATGGTTGGCTAAACAGAGAATCAAATTTGAACCCAGATAATCTCTGACTCCAGAGGCCTCCTTCTATGCGTCAGGACCCTTCCCCTAGATTAGGGTCTGGATCACATGAGTTGCTTCCTGTGCAATTTATTTCACAAAATGACCTTAGAATGAGATTTGAAAAAACACCTGCAGAGGCCAGCTGGCTAACCTAACAGGACACTAACTTCATCCTGCCCCTGTTCTATACAGATAACCATGTCTCATAATAGGCAATGAATCAGCCATGGAGATCAGATAGGGATCCTTCGTCTGGAATACCCAAAGCCCAAATGAGCTCCAGGGAATGAAGTCATTCACTTTACAAGCAAATTTCCAGATACTTGAGTGAATTTAATATAGATGCCAGGCCATCAAGGCAGTAATTATTTAAAAATATAACAGTAGAGAAAAATACAAGCACCCAAAATAATATCCCAGGCAAGCACCCATACTTCCCCTTAAAAATACCTTCATTGGTTATACTCATCCGTTACACTTCTTAAGTAGCCTGATAGCTTCATTTTCTCATGAAATAAAGTCATAGATAAAGGTTAACCTGGGCTGCAGAAAGTCCAGGAAGGGCAGGGAAGAGCTGACAGTCGCCAAGGAACTCAGACAGTGCAGGCATTTTGCGCTATATTTTCCTCCCACACATTTCAGATTTTGATTTATTTTTCTGCCTAAACTGTAGACACTTGAAGCTTAAACTTCACAGCAAGTGGAAGATTTCTTATTCTTTACCCTCTGAAGCCTGTCTTTGGTACTCCTGTCTGCTCCTCAGCTCTCTGCTCTTGGAAGCTGGCAGAAAGTTGTATCTTGACCACAGGCCTGTCTTCATAGAAAATGTCCCTGTCCTCCTCCTTTCTCCCCCAACAACACCTCAAAGTGAGCACTTTCTCCCAAACAGGCTCCACTTTGGAACCTCAGTCTTACTCCTGTTTCCACATGAGCTTGGGCAGGCTACTTAACTTCCTACTCTTTAGTGGTAGTTGTTAGATATACTTGGAAACACACAAACACATACACACACACACACACACACACACACACACACACAAAGTCTAAGTTCTTAAAACTTGATCGGCCTTCTTTCAGATTGTAATAAGGTTTATCAATTCATTTGTCAAGAAACAAAAGTAAATGAACATGGGTCTTAAAATATCTTTATCCAGTATCCAGAGCTCAGGCTTCTGGTAGCCATGATGGAGAGGGACCTAGCCTGGGTAGAAGAGTGTCCAGGATCCAGAGCTTCCAGGGTGTGGTCTATTCCAAAATGATCTCCCAAGGCCCCATTATCTCTGCAAGGTCATCTAAGTCACATTTTCAATTCAGCCACATGAATCCTTCACTCTATGTAAATCGGAAAAATGCTGGGAAGCCACATGGTACAGGGACAGTCCTCACAGGCTTTGTATTGAAATACAAGCCAGAAACAACTAGCTGCTGTTTTAAAATGCTGCAGAGGCGTGTGGGAGTTCTTCATATGGACCGAAACCTCTAAGACTGGCACAAATGGGGAGTAATCTTAGAGATATTTCACTTTAAAACTCTGATATTTGGTTCAAGTAGATCCCAGGAAATGAGCTAAATGAGATGAAGCTAACTTAAAACAAACTTCTCAGTCTTCCATTGCGGCTAAATAATATGAAAGCCAACACACTTTCTTTGCCCTAGCTGATTCCTTACCCTCTCAGAACTATCAAACAGTGTGAATACTGTAGGGCTATCACAGTGTCCTCCTGGAGTTCCTGCACGGCCTTTGGAGGTCACCAGCCACTTCATAGCCTCTAGAACTAGGACCTGTCTTCACTATATTCTGCTCACCATATCCCTGGAAAACGTGGTGTTAACACATCCTCGCCCCTTCAGAAAATACTGGGCAGAAGGGAAGTGCTGAACTGCTGAAAACTGTTCTGCCTCCAATAATCTCCAGTGACTACAGCCCCAAATGCATGGAAATTATAACCACAAACGGCCATAACAGTTAACCAAAGGCTGTCTCAGTACCCTGTGGTATCACCTACTCCACTGAAGACCTAGGGGACTAGCAGTACCAACAGCAGGGGTCTCCGTTTGTTGTAAGTCTCAAGTCTGCCCTGTACACATTCTGCTGCAGCAGGCAGCCATGAAAGTGTTTACAGCTCAGGGAGACTCCCTGTTATGTCAAGTACCCCATGTGCTACGGCTGCCCTCAGATCTCACAACAATGCTCACACAACAATGGCATTTAAACCAGAAAGCGCTTGCAGTCCCATACCAGATAAGCAGGTAAACAGGTAAAGGCTGCATCAAAACTGAACAGGGCTACACTTTCACGGCGACTGGAGGTTCCAAGCTTCTGCAAATGCAGCCTCTCAATGATGCTGACATTTAGAGAGGAGCAAGGGAGAACTAACCTCTTAAGTAAAGATGAGGCTAATACTTAATATCCCAGCATTGTTACCCATAAACCAATTAGGCGTTTATAAAAAGTGTGCCTTCGTGTTCCTACACACCTTCATTCTATTGTTGCAAATGCACTGATTGCAGTTAGAATCTTCCTATGGGCTCTAACAGATTGTTTTGATCCACCACACTAGTGACTCACAGCACTTTGCTTTCAGCATCGAAATGCTAGATTCCCCCTCCCAATTTAATTCTCCCGTCAACTCTAAATGGCCCCTCACAAGTGGCCAGGTGACCATGAAACCCTTAGAGGGAAGAAGATGAAACAGAACGTTTGGATCTTTGGGCGGCAGGGCTGGTCCCGGGCCCCCCTTCGCACTAGCCCTGCCGGGGCCAGGTGCCCCTGTGGGCGTCCCCGTGCGGGGACCCTCTCTGCGGCTCACCTAATGACCAGGAGTTCGTGGAGCAGATACGCAGCCGCGGCCAGCAAAGCTCCCCCGGTCAAATAAAGGGTTTTCTTCCACCAGGGATCGGAGCCCAGCCCTGCCATGATCCCACCGTAATCCTGCAAAGGGAAAGCGATGATGTCCCCATAAAACGAAAAGGGCTCCTCGGACCCGGCCCACCAGCCGAAGAAGGAGATGCTCTGGTTCCAGCTCAGGTCCACCACGCACGGCCTGGACGAGGCAAAGCCAACCCCCCAGTGCATACTGCGCGGCTGGCTCCGGGCGCCCCTCCCAGGGCCCTCGCAGCCCGCATGGGAAGGGGCCGGCGCCCGGGCGGGCTCAGCGGTGCGTGGGGGGAGCGGGCGACGGTGGCGGCAGAAGGGCGCGGACAGCGGGCGGAGGGCCGGGCTGGCGGGATCCCGGAGCACTGAGAGGCAGCGGCGGCCGCCGGCCTCCCTGGCCGAGGCCTCTCGCAGCAGCTCTTTGTGTCGGCGCGTGGAAAGAGCCACGTGATGTCATTGCTCCCCTGGGCCGGGCAAGAGAGGCGGGATAAAGTCACCTACCCCGCGCCCTGCCCCCAGCCCCGCATCTCGGCGGTGCGCTGCCTCCGCTCGCTCCGGTACAGCTGCGGGGCTGGCCGCCGAGGCTCGGGAGGCGGGTGGCCTGGGAGGCTGCGGGGACTGCGGCTAGGCCGAGCCCCGCAGCCGCCGCCCTCGGTTCCGCCCGTTCCCGCAGGCGCCGTACGGGGAGGGCGCGGGACTCACCTGCCCTGAGTCTCCGGAAGCGTCAGGCGAGGGCAGGTTAAGGTCGGGAGTGTCTGACCATCAGGAAAGGTCTGTTGTCATTGCTTAAAGCATTCAGGATGGCAGGCACCCGGGTCTGGGCAGGGTGCCGACCAAGAGATATCTGCCTGGACAAATAACAACGGAGAGTACACTAGGTGAGGAGTCTTCCCTCTGACCACTTGCCTTTGGAAATCATTATCAAGGTTGTCACTGATGATGCATGTTTTGTGGTTCTCTTCCTTTCTGGTGCAGAAAACTTGTAAAATAAACAACTGTGCATTCGCTAGTTTCCCCCACCCTGAAGAGATTATTAGGGATTGAATGTAGGGCCTTATAAATACACGGTAGGCAAGTTCGCAGCCCTTTAGATCCTTAAGGTCAGAAAACAAGACCGTGTTTTATAGAAGTTTGAGATCAGTGCATGAATTCTAGCCAAAGCATGGGCAGTTTCAGTTTACAGGAAACAAAATTGAAACATTTAAAGACATAAGATTCTTTACGACTAAAATGTAAGTGTGAATATAAGAACACATTTGTGCCATAAGACAGTAGAGACTGGGGTAGTGATGAAAGCTACTCCCATGTCCTGGACATCCATCACCCCTTTAGAATAAACAGGTAATCCAGCCGTGCTAGAAATAATCACTGGTTGCCCCCCAAAGACAGGGAAGAAGAGCCTAGCCAGGTTGAAACGAATTTCAGTGGTCCCTGTCTCCATCTTTTTTTTTTTTTTTTTTTTTTTTTTTTTTGGTTTTTCGAGACAGGGTTTCTCTGTGTTGCTTTGGAGGCTGTCCTGGAACTCACTCTGTAGACCAGGCTGGCCTCGAACTCACAGAGATCCGCCTGCCTCTGCCTCCCGAGTGCTGGGATTAAAGGCATGCGCCACCAACGGCCGGTGTCCCTGTCTCCATCTTGCAGAGACACTCACTGCAGTTCTCTTCCACAACTCCTCTGCTGCCCACTAGGGCATCTGGAAAGTTTGAGAAAATTGTTGAGTATTACCTGATCTTGGACTCAAATATGGCTTAAATGTCCACGATACTCTACAGTGAGCATCTTCAAGAAGCAAGCAGAGTCAAGTAAAATCCCACGAGAGAAATGGAAAGAGCATCTTGATCTGTTAAATCTTAGCACAACAAAAAAGACAAAAGATTATTATTGCTATCCCAATATGATGAAAGGAGACAGTCGACTCCAGGAAACCAATACACCTAAGACTCAAGTAAACTCTCAGGGAACAAGGAAATCAGATATAACCATTTAAGGCAACAGTTATGCAAGCCTTTAGCCAGCCTTTCATCCGAGGTCAACCTAAGTCTCAATAAGAAAAGCATCCGCACAGAGGAGCACAACCCAGCTACAGTGAGACAGCAACCTAAGGCTCAGGGCGGGAAACGCAGCAGCTAAACAGGCCAGAGAGGTGAGGCACACCTTTGACCCCAGCACTCCTGAGACAGAGGCAGGAAGATCTGTCTCAGTTCGAGGCCAGCCTAGTTCACAGAGCAAGTTCCGGATCAGCCAGGGCTACACAGAGAAGCCCTGTCTGGAAAAAACAAAAAGTAAATAAGTAAACAAATAAATAGCTAAACAGAATCGGGTTAACCAAAGAACTGGGGAGACTGGCTCTTTAAAGAAAGGCTTCTTGAAGCCCAATGGACACTCAGGTCCCAGATTTGACTGGCAGTACCTGTGTGGTCCCATCCCATCTGAAGACGGAAGGGTTGGAGCTAAGCATGAACTGTAGCACCCCTCCTAGGTTCTACCAGCCCCTGGAATGGTGTGATGATTCCGGGCTCAGAGCCTGCAGTTATTCCATTCCTTGGGGTCAAAAGAATGGAATACACCTCTTGAAATTCCTGGGTGAAAACATGGCACTCTAATGTTGTTCGAAGAATAGAAAATTTCATACTATTGTCTCCTCCCTTAAGAGTTCATTCATTTGTGCCTGTCAGTCACTTGGCCAAGAGACCACCCCCTCAGGAAGGCTGATGCTAACTAACACTGGTAAAAAATTTTTGGAGTTCCTACTGACTACTTTTACTTTTTTGTGAACAAAACTAAGAGCCCAAAGAGGGAATAATTTTAATCTCCCCTATAATAGTATTAAAATCACACTTCATTCAGAACTAATGAAGTATTTTGTTTTCTAAGCTTTTTTTTTTAAACTGACTTTCATCAAGGTGTTGAAAGGGGAAGGAACTAATTAGCTGAACACCTGCCTATGTGGTATTATACTACATAATTTTCCAAAACAAACTTTCATAGACACGTGATTTCACCCCTCTTACAAAGAAACTAAGGTCCCAGGAGAACAATTAACTACCTAATGCCAAAGGCTTTGTAGAATAGAGGCAGTATCAAAACCCCAGGAAGTCTAAAGTCCCACACAGTGGCTCTCTGAACCAACCATCCCTTACACTGTCTCCACACCACACGTGGGAGCTGGAGTACTGTGGGCAGTACTGAAGACCTTCCGCTACAATTTGAATTGTCTACATTTAATGACTACAAAACCTCAGTGACCTAGAGTTGCATTGTCACCTCTTCCATGAAAACAGGCCAAGAGAAAACTAAACAAGTTTCTCAAACCTCCAAGTGTGTGTGTAGAGCCAGGTGTGGTGAGACATATACATATCCTGCACTCAGGACGAGGCAGGAGGATTTCTATTTCAAGGCTGCTCTGAACTACCGGCTTCTACAAAGCTAGTTCATGTATCACCTGTGAGTCAGCCATGCTGAGTAAATCAATGACAATTAGACCACACCAGTGCTTCTCAAACACCTTTGTGCAGATGAATTATGGGAAAGCGTAAACTCAGACTGTGTTTTTGAGGAACCCAGGGATTCTGCATTTCTAGCACGTTTCCAGGTGATACCAGATGATGGTATGAATGGCAGTTCTCTATACCACTAGCTCCAAAGGAATTAAGAACTCTGAAGACTAAAGACGTTCCTTGGCAGGTGGTTCCTCATCAAACCCACCAGGCCATGCTGTTTTTTTTTTTTTTAAGTTTGGTCATTGCATACAGATAAAGGGACCAAACAGGAAACAAATCGGAAATTTTTAAATGTACCAAGACTCTAGAAGAACAATTAGGGCAGAGCTTGCTGCCTATCTGACCTGACAAGTACTGGGGGCTGAGGAGGAAGCCTTAAGGTAGGAGAGAAACTTAAGGAAGGGAGTAGGAGTAAAGGGGGCCGATAAGAGGTACACTGTCTTGCCTCTACTTCCCCGACTGAGCAGTTAAAGAGCTAACAGATATCTCAGGCATAATCAAGTGTGCAAGATGGGCATTTCATTTATGCTGGAGACTTTCTCATGATGTTTTTAACACTTGTTTTAAAATACAACTTGTGCCTGGTGATGGTGGCACATGCTTTTAGTGCCAGCACTGGGAAGGCAGAGGCAGGTGATCTCCGTGGAGTTCCAGGTCAGCCTGCTGTGTAGAGTGAGTTCCAGGACAGGCTCCAAAGCAATACAGAGAAACCCTGTCTGAAAAATAAAACCAAAAAAACAAAAACAAAAAATAAACAGCTTGAGGTATTTAAGGCCTTGCTCTACTGTAGCAAGTAGATATGAAATGATGTTTTTGCTCATTTTAAATAATTAAATGTGTTATGCTGTTTTATTAAAATGCCTATGTAGTATTCGGCAATAAATAATTTATTTGGCAACGTTCTGCTGAGTTTTATTGTGAGGATTCAGTGTTCTTGATTTGTTTACTGGCTAGTTTTATGTCAACTTGACACACTGCTGACGTCTACAAGCTGGCCTCTAATTTAGAGATCCACCTGTCTCTGCCTCCCAAGGGCTGGAACTAAAGGTGTGCGCCACCACATCTGCCTTGGGCAAGTGGAATTCTCTGTGGTTCTGAAAGTGTCTGCTTCATGATCTATAGCCTTACCCCCAGGATGTTCTTTTATTTGTTTTTGTTTTGTTTTGTTTTTCTGTTTAAACATGTTTAAAACAGAGTTGGTCACAACAGTCAGAACAGCGCAACAATGGAGAGGAGGGGAACATAGCTACTGCGGACCTGTTAGCTGAGGCTCCAGCAAGAGCTTTAGCTTTGGGGTGCAAGGGGCCCCCAGATCCCAAGGCTGTGGGGTGTCCTGCCCCTTCCCCAGCCCCCTCCTCCGCCAGTGCGGTGGTGTATATGAGGCCCAGCAGGTGGCACTCTTCCTCTTCTTCCAGTCTCTGTGGCTCAGAACCAGGCTAAGGGCAGAGGTAGACCGGGAGACATATGGGGGTGCACAAAGCCCAGGTGCCAGTGTGCGAGCTAGGGCCCCTGAGGAGGGCATGCTGACTCCTTGCTGGAGACAGGGCACCTAAAAGGGGAAGCTGGGCTTGTGGGTCTCCCAGGGAGCCATGAGGTGGGTCTGAAGGAAGCCGTATGGTGAAAATCACAATTCTGGTTCCCAAATCTCCACATCCTACAGAAAAAGTTATGGAATCCTGGAGCAGAGCTGTGTACCTGAAACCTATCTGAGGGAGCCTCATCCCTACCCACCCTACTCCCCTCACAAGCCCAGATCAACCTCCTTGCCACTGGCCAGCCGTAGGCCGTGTGCGGGGAGGGAACAGATGTTAGATGGGACTTCCGGCTGTCTTGGCGCCTGAGTCCACCTCCTTGTGGGCCCAGAGAGCTCCTTGTGCTGTTTACGGCCAAAACCCTTTGCTCTTGAACAACTGCTGAAAGTGAGGTTTGCAGTAAAATCCATCGCACAGTGCAGCGTAACTGCCCAAGCTGAATTTGGTGTGGCAGTGTTTGCAACAGAAGCAAGAGTTGTGGAAAATGAGCTTGTCTGCCACCAGCCGCTCCAGAGGATACAGTCTTCCAGCAGGCTGCGCAGGCCTCCTTCGCCTGAGCCCGCAAACTAAAGGACTTGGAGCC